CGAGAACACATTGCTGTCCTTTTAGAAGGGCACAGTTCGTGCATTATGTCATGGAATAATCACAATGCAAGAACTGTGCAGGCCTCCCAAGGAAAATGTCTGTTATGTGATGGAAACACATTAAGCTGACAAGACGAGCAGAAGCTAATGTGAGTATAGCCGCTGGGCAAGATGCTGCCTGTCTACCAGCGTTTCAGTGCAACCTGGGTCATTTTATTGAGTTCTGTCGCTGGTCATCAAAAAAGACACAGCGCCGATGGCAAAGCAACTGTCACTGAAAACAAATAAAGACTTCTTTTTTTTTTATGAGAGCTGACACTTCTGGACTCTTGACACTGTTGTCATTAAAGGCACTCCTCTGAAGACCAAATCACCAAGTCGGAGTTGTTCAATAATTTGAGCTGCTGACAAAGGAAACCTGACAGTTTGTGAGGAGATTGATAGTCTGACTGAGGACAAGCTTTAGAATTCAGAATTAAACAGTTCTTGTCTAATTATTTTAATAAACATCATGATCCTCTGTATTTCTAACCATATCATCCAATAATGTCCATCAAATTTCTTACTTCATCTTAGAATTAATGCAAGCAATATTCAACTATCCAACACTATTCTGGTTCGCATGCACTTTGCATAATGAAACTGCATTCAAATTCCTCCTCTTCTATATTTTGCCCTTGAATTAAAAATCATACAATACTGCTGACAGCTGCAGGACAAGATAGGACACAATGAAACTGTTGTGATCCCTCTGTGGAAATATTATAGCGAGATACACTAAATGAACAAAAGGACAAAGGATTATCTGCCTATTAGGTAACAGAACTTCAGTATCAAATGTCTTAAAGCTGCAAAACGGTGTTTAATTTGTCTATTTTATGTGTTTATCCTCCGTTATAATGGTCATATATTTATTATGAGACATCTACTATAATACATTTACATCATGAAAGTAGTGTTTTGCAGATTGGAGGTCTGTCAGAATTTGGGGAGCACAGCACATTTTTTGTCCACTTACAAAAATGTTAAAACCTGAAAGCTAAATTCTTTGTTCAAATATTTACAAAACTTTAAGTCCCAACAAAGTGTTCCATCCATAGGCCTCCTCTATAATACCACGGCTCTATTTTTCTCACACCAGATTACTGAGGGATAAACCTACAGTAACAATATTACAGATTTATAATCCTTTGAGAGGCAACCGAATTACAGCAGCATAATAGCATCAAAACCATTGAGATTATTCTCATTATTAGCAGTATTATTAGGTAAATAATATCTCTTTACAGCAAGCCAGAAAGGCTGGTAGTTGGATTTTCTATAACGTTGACATTTACTAGCTGAAGGCATCGTATTGACAGGCCACCTGACTGAGCAGCGGAGTCCCAGTGACGTCAGCAGGGAGAGATGAAGCACCTTAGGGATTTTTAACCCCTGCTTGCTTCAGATTTGCACTGAGTGGAAAATCTACAACTCATTTCAGGTGCACTTATACAATCTCTAACATCTCTATGAGGTAAGAAAGCTTCCTCTTAGCTCTGAGTCTCCACTAATTTTCCTCTTGGATGCAATTTTTTTTTCTCCTGCTCGCTTTCATCTCAGTTTACTGTCAAAAGATTATCGTGCCTAGCCCCAGGAATTGTGGGGTTTCCTTCCTATTTGTTCCTGGATGGTGTCCATCTAAGCAGATGCTGCTGGCTCCTCCTGGAGCTTGAGGCCTCCCACTCTGTTAGACGGCTGGGCGTCCCACAGCAGTCAGGCTGTCCAGACTTTAGCTGCTTGTACAGCAAAATGGAGCGCTAAGCCAAGCGTAAATGAAGACGATTCTGCCATCTAATTAGAACCTATTTGGCCTTTGGAGAAATATACTGAAAAAAATACATATTTTCTTGTACTTTTTAGATAGTTTCAATTAGTTTGTCTTATCGTAGTGCTGCTGCTGCCTGAGCTTCAGCCTCAAAGCAATTATGGTCTGTGTTGTGAAAGGTGAGTTTGAAGTACAGTGTGTGTTCACCTAACACACCCACCACCTTCTGCCTCCCTCTTCCTGCCTTCCTCTTCTGTGTATTCCCACTTTGTTTGTTTGTTCAAACGGGGTTTTTGCATTTTACGAGTTTGTGTCTGAGTGATCTGCCAATTAGGACAGGACATATCATCCTGAAGAATGTCTCAACCTCCAACAATGGCATGCACACCCACACACACACACACACACGCACACACACAGATAGCATGCTGCACGCTTGGAAGTTCTCTCTGTGTGGTCTGAGCTGCTTCCCCTGTGACTGGAGTGCAACTGAAGAGACAGACGCGAGGAGAAGAGATGAAGTGCGAGAGGTGCGATTTCTTACACCTTCACAGAAACAACAGGTCGATCCAACACAAACACATGTCCATGCACTCCTGCTCTGACAAGTCACATTAGTTGTTTAGCACCTGCGTGTTCGACAAACAGCATCAAATCTGTGTACATTTCCATATGCCAGGTGCATTAAAAACTCAAAAACAAGCCACTTTGCTTCTTTTGCAACATCATCACACCAAACAGGGAGTGACTGAAGCTTTAAAAGGCTGGAATCAAGATGGCCCATCCAGGGTTGTTGTTCTACATCTTTCATTATTAATTCATTGTTGTATTGATTGTGTATTCATCTGGATGGGAAACGGAGGAGAGCTGATGTCTGAGGCAGCTGTATTATCCCCTCCTCTCCTGTTTCTTATCTGGCAGGGTGCTGAGGCACGGGGAGGATGCAGGATGAGCCGCATGCTACTTTGATATGAGCGTCTGAAAGATGGCCGTCAAGAAACAAAGTAAGAGAGGGACGATGCGATGCGATAAAAAAGGACATGTGAAGGCAGCATTTTGGTCACATTTTCGGAAGAAACGCTTATTCCTGCCAAGAGTTAGCTAAGAAATCCTTACTACTCTCACATCTGTGCAATAAATATGAAGCTACAGCTGACAGACAATTAGCTTAGCTTAGCATAAAGACTGCTAACAGCTAGCCTGGTCCAGTTTTAAGCAAAGCCAACAATAAAAGAATCCCATAACATCTGGCAAGTTGTGGTTTTAACAGGAGGTTATGCGACAGACTTTCTAAAGTCTTGTGCCAAGGTAGCTGTGTCCCCCCCCCGGTTGATGCTAAGCTATGCTAACTGGCCACTGGTGGTAGCTTTATATTTACCGTACAAACCTAAAAGGGGTAACAATCTTCTCACCTAAGTCTGCACAAGAATTTACATAAATATATTTCCCAAAATACGGAACTATTCTATTAATCAGGCTTGTTAAATTATAAGCGTTGAGATTCTTCTTGGTCAAACATTTGCCCAGATGGTCCAAGCCTGGCTCTATTATTTAAGGATATCTATTATTTAACATTTTGGGGGACGTATGGTTTATTCACTTTCTTGCTGACAGAATAGAAAATCAACACCACTAAGCTAGCAGCTTAGTTTGCTTAGCTTAGCATAAACAACTGGGAAACAGCTAGTCTGGTTCCGTCCAGAGGTAAAAACTAAAGCTCACTAATAAACACTGCATTTGTGAAACAAACAAGCCAGGCTAGATGTTTCCCCCTTTTTTCCAGGCTTTATATTAGGGTAACTGGCTGCCCAGCTGTAGCTCTATATTTACTGTCTACATGTGAGAGTGGTATCAATTTCCGTCTAACTCTTTTCCATATTTTATCATAATAACAGTTCTACAACCAATCCAAAAAGAAGGAAATTCATGCGTGGATGCTGGCCTCCTGCCCCTTGAAGCACAGCGGGATGTTTCTTTTAGTGCCACTGAACAGGCCACTCTCCAGGGACATTAAACAATACCAAACGCCCACGCATGTCACACCTTCGATCTCATGGGGGAGGCCTAGAAAATGGGGGAAAAATGGAAAACAAAACAGCTCCTTTGTCTGTGGAAGGAAAGTAAATCATACATTTGGCTTGTAAACTGGAGCTGTGGTGTAAAACAGGTTTGACTGCTCATCAGTTGAGTGTGCAGGCTAATTTCCTTTCAGATTGCTTCAGTGAGACTAAGTGAGTGAAGCTGCTCTGAGAGGCTTTAGTCTGGGATAACACCAGGTAGCTGATAGCCTATTACAGTATAATCACTGCAGGTTTTGACTCATTTGCAATCCGTGCCTGCCTGTGAGCGACTCAAGTGTATCAATTAAAGATTCATTGAAGGCAGTACACACACAACTAGTGATCTGGATTAAATATTCATTGGGAAGATGTTGGTCCGGATCATATGAAGCCTTAACACTTTCCACTGCACATCAGGACCAGTAGCATAAATATGGCACATTACACAGGCAGGCTGCAGCAGCAGGGGTGGCTTTAGGACACGATTGTACAAAGCACCCAAATATGAGACATATTTTAGCCTGTCTTCATATGCTGATGCTGGCTGCTGTGCTTTTTTTTTTTTTTTTTTAAATTGGCTGCCTCTCATCTGAGGAAGGTTCTGACTCATCGCAGATTTATCAGCAATCCTCCTTGAAGAAGGGAAAAGAAAGGGCACACGACATTTTCTTGAGTAGTAAAGCATGCAGCAGAGTGAGTTTGAAAAATAAATTAGGGCCTGTAGCCAGAGGTTTCCACCACTGCTACATCCAGTAACATCCAGGGTTATTTTTAGCATCGTGCCACCTTGTCAGACTGGAGGAGAGAAGAAAACCCCCACTTGTAAGACAAGGGGAGGCCAGTGGGAAGCTGTGGTATGTTTGGGGAGTCAAGTATGAGCACCTTAAGCCCAATCTAGGTACATGTATGGAGATTGGAGTTGCACTGGTGGTCACCTGAACTCACCTTTAGGACATGCATCTTTCTCACACTATTAGGCTATATAAGTAAAGGCACCACATGTGCTTTATGATCAGGGTCTTTTAACGACAAAAGTGATGTTTTGCTGAGCTTGTTGTTACCAGATGTTGCACCAGATTTTCTAATTCTATTTATATGTCACCTTTCAGTTTTTAAACCAGCTGTGTGCCTACCTGAATTCAGGAGCCAGGTTGGGCTTCAGGCCATAGAAAGCAGCCGATAAGGTCAAAAGCCAACGGGGAACAAAATTCCCATTTTCACACTCCAGGTAAGGGGCAGACCACTTGACATGCGTCTTGTCCGGGATAAAACTCTCTCCTCTTTTTAAAGAATTGTCAACTGATCTAAAATCTTGGCTCAGCACCCTCTTATGGAAACTGGGCTTCTTCTTGTCTTTGACATCGTGGTACCACTCTGTGTCTGCGGTGCGGTTGTGCAGATGATGGTGGGCCATGCTGGAGAGGTCTTGGAGGACTATCTCTCCGCCGGCCCTGGTGGCTTGGAGGAGCACCGAGGGCCCCGCCACGGACGTATCCGCGCTAAAAGTGACAACCGCCCGGTGGATCTTGGCGTCTCCCTCCAGTATACTCCTGACTAAGGCATGGTACCACTCAATGTCTCGCCGGAGACTCTGCTCCCTGGACCTGTTGGCTTGCAGGATCATGTTGAGGAAGTTTGTGGCGTGCAGCACCGTATCCAGCACGCTGCTCATGGAGTAATGCGGGACGGCTTGTGACCTTCCCCGCAGAGAGGTGAGCTCGTACCTCCGCGAGCAGTTGGCGTGCTTTAAGGTGGTCGAGTCCCCCGTGTGAAGAAAAGCCGTGACCACCCTGGGGAGATGCTCCTCTGTTTTCTGCTGCAGCTCCGCCGTCTCCCCGGCGCGGAGATGCGCCAGCTGCCGACGGTGCGTCTGAGCGCCGTTGATCGGCTCCTGTGCTCTCATATCTCCCCCATGCGCTGACCATTCCGCGTATTTATGGTTTGATCCGATCACAAATCCCACTTGCAGCAGCAACGACAGCCGGAAAACAGCCATCTCCCTCCAGGAAAGCGTCCACAGATGTTTTAGGGGGGGATTGCTGCTCGGAATTACAGTGTCGTTGGGCGTGTGTGCTGTAAAGAAAGAAATCAAAACCAAATTGCTCCGCTAAACCATCGCTTCACCACTTGTAGGATATTCTTGCAAGCTCCACGCCTCTGTTTCTTGTAATCAAAAAGCAGAGGAAGAGGGAGGGGGGGACGTAAGGAACCCCCTCGCTGTCCTCGCCAAATCCCTTCTTCTTCTTTACAGATGCCTCATACAGCTTGTTGATGTTGAGTATCCGCTTGCAGCTGATTCCCCCCACCTCTCTCTCCCTCACTGTAGACAAGACTGTCTTGCCTTTGCCGTGCGGCGGACGTTCTCCCTCTGCGTGTAGGCTACATAGACTGAATCAAACCGAGGAGGAAGGGAGGGGTAAAAGGGGGCAGGTTATTATTATATTTATATATTTCTTTTAAGAGGCACCGAGTCAGGGAGCTTCTCACTTGGATGACAAACGCACTCCGCCCCCTTCCGACCACAACAAGCATTAAGTAGGCCTACAGAAGCCACGAAGAGACACATCAGGAGCTGTGAACCCTTAAAGCCCGTCTTCTCCATCATCGCATAGGGCTCCAGAAGCGCCATTGATCCGCGTTTGGCCGCTTCTTCTGTCAATCACGGCGCAGCGTTTCGGTGGCGCGGGGGAGAGCTGTCCGGTGCTGAAACGGATGAAGCGCTTAGGGAACTGTCCGGTGCTGAAACGGATCAGTGTGGCTGATTTATCCAAATCAAGTCCTTAATTTAGATCATTGATATACATTTGTTCTCATTTACAGGAGTCGAAAAGCTTAATTAAATCTACTTTGAAGTTAAGAAACAATTGAAACAAACACATTCTCTTATGATATTAAGGGATGGGGCGTTTCTGTTTGTGCATGAAGATAGGTTGAAACATCATTCTGAGGATTTATTTTATGCATAACCCAGGAACTAAAAGTTAAAATAAGCAACTGGAACAGGTTTGCCACATTTTTGCTGCTTCTTTGTCAATAAGATATTTGATTAAAGACAGTATACACACTGTATGGCCAAAGATGTGTATACTTTGGACTAGACGCCTTAAATTAAATTAAATCCCCTGAAAATAAGTAGCCGAATTCTCTATAACATTAAATGTTCGTGATTATAAGCAAAAAAAAAGTGTTATTTGTTAAAATGTAATTATTTATAATGTTATTTATTTAAATAAAGGTTATTTATTTATGTTTGTGCTTCATCAGGACTGTTTGGGTGTAGTTTGATCACATTTGAGTAGTGACCAAACCCCCCAACTGTCATCAGAGTCAGATTCAAATCCTGACTGGTGCTTGGAAGTAAGTGACATCACCCTTTTTCTAACTAAGCCCCGCCCACCGAAAGTGCCCTGTTCTAACTTTGCCTTAAAATAGTGTGTTTCAGGGCGTTTAAAGGAGATCATAATGCTACAGCATACAGTGATATATTAGACAATGGTGTGCTTTTATGTCGCAACTCTTTCCTGTTTCAGCCTGACAATACCCTCGTGCACAAAGCAGCGTCTACAAAGAAGTGGCTTGACCTCAACCCCTTCCAACACTATCAGTCAGACCTCACCCAACATCACCGACCAACATCCTGTGGCTTAATGGGAGCAAACCCCTGCAGCCAGGTTCCAAAATCTTGTGAAAAGACTTCCCAGAGAGAGTGCTGGCAACATATTAATGTCCACTGGTTTTGAGATGAGATGTCTCCACAAGTCCACAAACTTTCGCCCATATATGCAAGATCAAGTTCACTTTCTGTTTTGTAAGCAAAAACAGTCCAGCGGCAAACTTCATAGGTGTCCTTTGGGCTCCTCCATCTATACTTTGCTAAGTAAAACAGAAGTCTGAGATGAAACGACCATTTCTACAAACCTACAGGGTCTATTGGTGTGGAAATTTGGTCATGCCTTCCCTTCAACCTTGACATGTTTCTAATCAATAAACGCTGTTGCCCCTCCGTGTGTTAGTCAAGCAAACTAAACTGAAGGATTTGGATCTGATCTATTTCTTTACTTTGTCAGCAAACTATCTGTCTCTCTCTTTCTTATTAGTTCAAGCTCTAAGGTTGCTCTCTCCCTCTCTCTCTGCTGGGTGTAGGGGCATGTCACGTCACGCTGTGTGAGCTAGAGGCATCTCGTCCTGGAAGGAGGGTGAGGAAGACAGGCGTGACCAAGGGTGACAGAGCTGAGAGTTGGGCTACGTGCTGCACAGGCCATCGGGGATCCTGGAAGTTGGAACCTGAAGACCTTGTGGATTATCTTGACCAACATTTATGCAGCTGCGTCCGAGACTGCTTGCTCGTCCTGTCTAGAAATTTTGACATCTGCAAGCAAATGACAGGAAATCCAGCAACTGCCAGAAAATCATGCTGCACATACTCAGTATGGCAAAATGGCTGTATTTTCACACTGTGGAGAACATTTTTTTATTTAGTCAAGCTTATCTGTCCATACTTTGCAAATGATCCTATTAATCAAGGTTTGTGTGCTTAGTAAGCCTTTTTCTGTGGTTTACAATAAATATTTATGATGGTATCTGTGCCTGGGACAGAACCTTTCCTAACCCTAAAAGAAATATTTCTTTCCTTTCTCTTTCCATTTTGTTGTTGGTGCCAGCGAAATGCTACAGAGAGGGAAATAGAAGCAAAGGAAAAAAAAACATCAGTCACAGTGATGATGATGGTGACGAAGGTGGACATTGCACCTTCTTTGGAAGGTGTGAGCCATCTGCATGGGCAGTGGGCTCTTAATGTTAATGTGCTGCCAGCTGGAGATCCATGATACATCTTCAACACCAGTTCCTGATTTGGACAGTTTGGAATAATGTGACATTTGAACAGTATGAAAATCTGATTGTTTTTTCTGTCCTATTTGACAGTTTTGATCGGAGCTGCAAAGTTTCAGAAGTCCCCCTGCTTCTGAACCCTAATTGCAGGATTTTCAGGGCACCAACTAAAGCTATGCATTATCAAGTTACATTACTCTAAATGTTTTAGAGGAAACCCTCAAAGCAATCATACTGCTTAGAGATTTAACCAGTATTTGAAGTTGTAACCCAACTGTAATCCTTTACCAATTTAATTCATAAAACCCAAGTCAGTCATCATTGTGACATTTAAGTGTTTCATTCTTCCACAGGGTTGTAGAAATAGTGCCAAAAAATAAACTATTGTTTGCAATATATCTGTTAAGAAACAGCCAGAGATTACCTAATCAATCAATGATTTATTGCTCACTCTGACAATGAAATAAATGCCACTGTACAATTGTGGTTGAGACTGAGACTAGTTGATGGTTTAACAGCAACTTTGATATAAGTTGCCTAATAAGAGGCATTGTACTCAACACACTAATGATAACAGGATATTATTTGCCTTGCAGCATGGTACACATGCCCCATGCGTTACTAGACGTGTATCAGAACAGCAGTTGGATTTGATTGTCAGCTTCTAAGAGAGTCAGATTCTGCACAAAAACAGCAAACAAAGTAAACAATTTAATATTTAAAAAAGACTTGTAATTTGTAAAATGGTAAATTGGAAAACACTTCCAATTGAACTAATTTATGTGTATTAAAATGAACAGAAAATCATCATCATCCATTTAAAAAAAGAAATGACATGAATATTACAATGAATAACTTAAAAAAAAAAATTCAGTACATCTCTTCTTCCATAAATATTATGGCAAAAGGCTTCACTGAATCACATTTTTTGTTTCTTATGGGGTTAGATAAATTCCATTGTTGCTTTAAAAGGTTATTTATCATTTTAGAAGCAATCTGTATGTAAATTTACCCAATACTCATAACCAGCTACACAAGATCAGCATTGTAACAGTTGTCATATTTTGCTGATTTTTATAATCTCGTCTTTATTTTTATCTTCAGTTGAGCGATATGTACATAACGTCAGAGCTACGGGAACAAAAATGAGGCCATGAAGCATCCCAATAAGAATGACGAGAAAGAAAATTTTGAAAAATGTTCTGAATGTGTGAAATTCGGATGCGGCCAACACTGAAACCCCTAAAATGGTGGACAACGCCCCTTGAATTATGGGGTAGCCTAAACTGGAGAGAGCATCCACAGCCTTGTCATTAGCATTTGGTTTCTTGCTTGAGACAAAGACGTAAGACATGTGAGCAGAGAAATCGACAGTGAAGCCGATGCAGACGGTGAAAATGATCATGGATATGGAATCGAGAGTGATGTCCCATAGCACCATGATACCAGTTACCCCAACAATCACTGAACCGATCGAAAAAGTCACTATTAATGAGCAGAGTGGGTTTGGAATCAGCAGGAGAGAGACGACCAACATCACGGCTGTGATCACGCCAACGTTTTTAATCGTGCTACTGACTACGACGCCGTACTGGTCGTAGAAGATGAATTTGTGGTTATAGACTAACAAAGATGCTGCATGGCATCCGCCCGCAGTGGTTTTAAAACCTTCAAGCATTTCAATTTCCATGCTGGCATTGGCAATATCAACAGTCTGAATGAAGGACCGGGAAGCATGGATGGCATCTCCAGAGAGGTTCACGTCTTGCTTAAAATAAGGAAATAAATCAAAAAAATTTGATATATTTTTGAGAAACACGTCTTTATCATCAAGGTTTAAATGTGTTTCTTGTCCATATGACATATACGAGTCCAGCCAGGATGTATAAATATCCTCATCTACAAATTGGAGCCTTTTAAAGTTCTCCATACATCCCTGAAGTTGGTGCCTCTTGGTCTTATCCCAATATGGGAATTTCTCATTTACTATAACCATCACATATGGACCATAATCAGAAAAATACTGCCTATCCTTCTGGTTGAATCTTGTAACGTGGGAGTTATCAGCTGCCAGATCATACAGCTCAATCCCCTGTTGTACATGGAAGCATTCATAAATACTTACAGCTAAATATACCACATAAAGGATGATTACAACTCCCTTGACCCAGGCTTTGATCAAAAACGGGCCATAGTAATCCTTAAAGAAATTACTCGCTGGGTGTTTTTTCTCTGCTCCAGTGTTCTTATCATAGTCGCCTCCCACACAGCAGATGTTATAAACCTCACTATGATGCTCCTGTTTGTCTGATGGTACTTTCATGCAGGTCAGCCAGTGCCGGTTGCTGGCTTCTCGCCTCCCATTTAGAGCCAGGAAGGCTCCAAAGAAGGTGATTGTGTAGATGTAACAAAATATGATGGACGTGGTGGTGTACAGACAGAACCACTGCACTGATGGGAAGTCGGATGTGACGCCTATGGAGAACTTGAGGATGTCAGTCAGGGCGGTGATGGTGATGGACATGATAGCTTCTTTGTAGGAGTGAGCCATCCGCTTCGGCACTGAGTCTTTCACGTTGGTGTGCTGCCAGTCGGACACCATAACGAACATATTGTTGAGACCGATTCCTGTAAGAAAAATTATGTCAGTGATGTAA